GCATGAAACTGCAAAGGAGAGGGAGAAGAATCTTTTCAACCTCCTTGTGCTACAAAAGGTCAGCAGGTTGGCCAGACTAATCACCCAGAGAATAATATTGCAGGGACGGGTGACAAGAAGCTTTGGTTGAATGCTGGCAAGATCAAATGACTTTTTCTGTGTGGATCTTCAGGATCCAATAATTTAACATTTTTAATTTTGGATGGAGTTTTGCTACCTCTGAAAAACCGGTCCAGAACTTTTGGGTTCTCCTGGACTCACAACTACTTGAAGAGCATCTTGGGTCCACAAGAAAGGCATCTTGTGGACCCAATCAGTCAAAGAATTCTTGTCCCAAACTCTGGAAATCCTTATTTATAGAGAGCACATCTAGTTTGGACAGACCATTGGTGCTAAGATGCACAATAACATCAACATCATGATCATTGTTGACAATTTTAACAATGGCCCCTTTTCTCTACTGGCAGTTGCACCAGGTAGATACCTCACCTTCTTCAATATTCCACATCCTTTCCTAAATAGACATCTCTCACAATTGAGTCACCAACCAACTCTTTTTAGATACAGTACTCACCACACATGACTGATTTGCAACACCTGATACGGACCTTCCCTTATCATGATAACGTTTTCCTCATGGACCACCATCCCCTGACCAATTGAGTCTTCATCATCACAAATAGCTGAACTTGCCCCCTTAGTTTCTCTATTAAGTTTAGCAGTGATAGTGCAACTGTTATGCAGGGATACACCAAAGGCATCATGTTTGTGGTCCATGGCTCTCACTCTGCTGGATCCAACAATTCTCCATACTGCCCTTTTCATGCAGGATCTTTGTGGTGGAGGGGACTGATAGCGGAACATCTCAACAGAGCACATCAGCTGAATCAGTCACTCAATTTCAGCCTGAAGAGGACACACTAAAGACTTTAGACAAACAATCTGTTCATATATAGCAAACTAGTCATTTGCATACAAAGAGGCAGTATCCCAAAATTTTTGGGAAGCTCTTTATTCTTAAAACGATATCACAATAGGTTTGTCTATGTGTTGATATAAACATTGCATTACAAAATCATATTTTATCAAGTAGCTATCTTTATTAATGACAATATAGAAAAATAGATAACCAAGAACTAATTGTTATTCACAATCTCCAGTTATACAAGGAACATAGAAAATCACTTCACTACAATTTTTATGCACTTCAGTACAATTTTTATGCACTTACGTATCATAGTATTCAGCCTTCACTTAAGGTTCACACAATCTATTAATGATATTTGGATATATGGCATAGCAGCAGGCTAGATAGTGGGAGACTGTAAATTCAAATTCTGCCTTAGCCATGAAAGCCATGTGGGGTTACTTTGGTCAATCACTCACTCTCAGCCGGATCAATCTCACAGGCTGATCTCAGCCCGATGGATCCCAAGTTGATTCAGCCCAGGTTGATCAGTCTCAGCCCAGCCAATTGTACATGGTTGTTTTTGTGGGGAAAATAGAAAGAAGAAACTCTGTTGGATATCTTAACAGCCTTTGGTAAAATAATAAGAGTTGAGGGTGTGTATAAAAATAAAAAAAATATATTATTTTTAAGGATCCTTGTTAACCTCTCAATCTGCAAAAATGTTGCTGGGAGATTTGTACTATAAGACTTGTGAGAGTCTCTTAATGTATCCTTACAGTAATGTAGAATCAGCTAATGCAGTCATGTTTCCCATCTGGTCTACTTGGGAGAAGATTAGCCTGGCAACTTTCTTCCTGAGAACTAACTTTCTTTCTTTCTTTCTTTCTTTCTTTCTTTCTTTCTTTCTTTCTTTCTTTCTTTCTTTCTTTCTTTCTTTCTTTCTTTCTTTCTTTCTTTCTTTCTTTCTTTCTTTCTTTCTTTCTTTCTTTCTTTCTTTCTTTTCCCCAAGGCATTTATAAATAATCTCATTGTTTTTTTGTTCAATTTATTGGTGATGTGTTCTAAAATGTTCCCTTTAATAGCCAAATTTGGTCAATTGTATTTTGTCAATACACATTTTTTTCAATCTATGACTGACCAATTTATCTGAGCCTTTTTCACTTTTGAAGAAAGTAGTAATACTTGTTCTCCTGACTCACTATATTTGTGAATTAGACAACTGTAGAAGAAAGATTCAAATATGAAAAGATTGCCTGGGATAAGAAACCAAATATTCTGTTTTTAAACTTCCTGGATTTCTATTCTAGTTCCATCCATTTCTGGAGAAGAATGAATTTTGCAATATTTCCCATTGGAAATTGTACTTGGACCAAAATGGAGATGTAGCAGCAGATCTGAATGTCATAAGCTGGGTGCTTATTCCCGGGTGGGAGCCCATCGACGAGCAACTGGGGAGTTTTGAGAGGCAGAGATTTACAGTCAATAAAGATACTCTATCATTGCTAAAGTCACTCAACAAGGTAGGAGAAATATTGCTGTCTTTTCTCTATTTTCTAAAGCCTGAGCATCCATTTCAGGATAGAACAGAATAATATAGTTGGAAGGGAACTTCTAGTCTCTTTTTGAAAGCCTCCAGTGATGGAACACCCACAACTTTTGAAGGCAAGCTATTCCAGTGGTTGATTGCCCTCGCCATTAGGAACTTTCTCTTTAGTTCTAGATTGCTTCTCTCCTTTGTTAGTTTCAACCATTATTTCTTGCCTTGCCTTTTGGTGCTTTGGAAAATAGTTTGACACACTTGGCATTAAGCCAAGTTTCACTTAGTCTATACCTATACAATTGGTTTTTCTTGCCTAAATGTAAAACCTTACTTTTATCTATGTTGAATTTCATTTTGTTAGATAGTGCCCAGTGTTCAAGTCTGTCAAGGATCTTGAACTTGTCTTCTAGGGTGTTGGCTATTTCTGTCAGCTTGGTGTCATCTGCAAATTTGATGAGTTCCCCTTCAATTCCTTCCTCTAGATTGTTTATGAAGATATTGAAGAATATTAGGCCTAAAATGGAACCTTGGGGTGCCCCACTGCTTACTTCCCTCCATGTGAATGTAGTTCCATTGAGGATTAAATATTGAGAATAATTTGTCAGCCAATTACAAACACATTGGGTGGTGTGTGCTGTCTATCCCATTTTACTAGCTTTCCAAGAAGTAGGTTGTGGTCTACTACAAATGATTTAATGAAATCTAAGTATAATATGTTGTATGTATATACAATTAGGTTGGTTAAGCCTAATCACCAAGGTGATTAGGACTTTCATTGGGAATTGAATATGTGGAGCAGAAATCTCATAGTTTTGTTAGACTGCTTGGAAAGCTTCAGTACTATTGATCAATGTGTCCTTTACATGGTAAAATATGGAGCAATCTTTTAAGTTGATTCTGCACTGTCCACCATAGGATACTGGGTGACAATTTTTTAGGACACAAGTCATAGTGCATTCTCTGCAATCTGGTAGCTCCATAAAAGTGGCGAAAGATACTCTTAAGTGCCAACAGTTGTGGTACTGATAGACTGAACTTTGCTCGTTCCTTATTCCAAAATAGCAAAGGAGAAGGCAATTCTGTTAAATAGTTCCTAAGTTCAGGTTCAGAATTCAATAATATTGAATCAGGACTGGATAGATACCCCCTTTGTCTCTGTGGCAAATATTCCTTAGAATTCAAATTATTCTAACTGAGCACAGTGTCCCCTGCAAGGAAATGTCCACAGTCAGTAATGGCTTTAAGCAGGCCAGATGTGCCCAGAATTAGCCATTGTTTCCTTTCACCCCACTTGGATAGAGCAGTAGGCCTTCTGCTTATTGGAAGGAAGTCCAAGGCATTTAGTTCACCTGAAATCATAATAACTGGTCTGATGTGAAATAATGACCTGACCCAGAAAACCAGAGCATTGAAACAAGACTTTGATATAAAGAAAAGCCCTTCCTGATATTGAAAATATCAAGGGAGAATATGAAAGGAAATGTTAGTTAGATTTGGCCTTTAGCTTTTAAAAGGACGCTCCATCCGAAAACCCCTTGAGTGCAATTATTTATTTTGATTATTAACTACCTTAAGTCTCTCTGGGCAGAAATAACGTTCCAAATTTCAGTAGTAACAAGCATGGGTCTGTCTTTCCATTCCAGTTGGTGTTGCCTAATTGTAGTTTTTCAGTAGGAAAGATATAGAAATAACCTTTTCCAACAAACAGTCATATGCATATTCATCTCCTGCAGCAAAAGAGGCTTGAATTTTTGAGATACATATTTTCATGACCTTATCTCTATATCATATAACTACGGTTCTAGAAACTAGGCACTCAGGTTTAGTCTCATATGACTAAGAGGGCAGCCATATAAATTAAAGAAAAATATACAAATAAACAACAATCCTCTCCTTAAAGGATGACAGCTCTAATTTATAGTCTCCCAACTGGGAGACTATTTTAAATAACTTTCAAAGGGGAGCAGCTTTGCAAAATTTTATATAGTCTTGAAGAAATCTTTGCAGATGCTATCACTGATAAGTTTCTTTCTTCATCACAATTTTATTCTATTTTCATACATTTAATAGAATAAATATTTAATAAACCTTTCAGAATAATTTTTACTCTAAAAATTTAACATGAATATATCATCCTACTTTAAAATTATGGATAAGAAGAATAGTGGAATAAATGTTAATGCAGCCATGAGAAAGAAACTACTGGTTGTCACTTAATTCTTAAATCTTTTCTCAATTCCATCCCACCTAACATTATTAAATAGAAAAGCCCTTTATTTTAATGTGACATTCCAAAAGCAAAAGGGATGAACTAAATGAAGAACCTATCAGTAGTTGTATCTCTTGCAACTACTTGGAACTAGTTAGAGAGTTCATATTTATCTCAGTGAAGAACAGAATCTCTTTGGCTAATGTTCATTTTGACCTTTATTTTCTATGGATGGTTAGTCCTAACATATTTTCTTTGGCATTAATTGTTTTTCTGCTTAGTCTCTGCCTCAATCCAAATGTGTGGAGAAATGTCATCCTGGATTTGTGAAGAGGGCTCGAGAAGGAGAGCCTGTTTGCTGCTATGATTGTGTTCCTTGTCCAGAGGGGACCATCTCCACTCAGGAAGGTGGGTGACACCAAAGAAAAGACCAAGCCTTGGGAAAGTAGATTCATCCAGATCATTTTTAAAATATATATTTTATTAATTTTTTACAATAACAATCTTTAGTGCTTAGTGAACAATATGTTGTCTGGGTTCATATATTTAAAAACAATAATACTTTCTATAACTGATCAATATGTTAGTTGATAATATATTTCTTTGATCCTCTCTTCTTCCAGTAATATTCTCCTTTTGTTTACATTAAACAAATATAATTCTTAATACTTTCAATACACACAAAATTGAGTATAAACATTTTTCTAGTATTTGTACATGTAATAATAACATCAACATATAGCATCTTTTCTAATCAGCTTATGTTTCAATTGTATTTATAGAAGTCATCTTATTAAGTCATTACATGTCCTGTTTTCAAGATTCAAGAAGCTTAATTTCCCCTCAGTATTGAAACCACTCTTATCAGTCATAATTTTCTCAAGATTCATTATCTTTGAATATCCAAACTTTTCATTCAAATGCTCCATCTCAATATTTTTACATTTCATATATTATAAAAGTATTATACTACTTATATATCTTATCCCTCTTACTATAGGGCCACTTTATGTCCAAGGTTTGTCTATTCTTTTAACCATATTCAAACAAGTATTTAATCATATAGTACACCATCTAGCAATCTTACTATAGGGCCTCTTTATATCCAAACTTTATATTTTTTTAACTGTATTCAAACAGGTGTTTAGCCATATAGTATTCCATTTGGTGAATTGAATCACATCTCTTAAATCTAATTCTAATCTTCTTTTGCCAGGTCACTTTCCAAATCAGTAAGTTTAGCTTGCCAGGTTGTATTTTTGTAGATATTGTTGGGGATAAAAAAGACAAATTAAGTAAAATATTCATTCTTTGTCTCCCACACTTTAGTGATTCTCCTGAAAGCTCTTTAATCCATTTTATTAAATCTTCTTTTTTGTCCTCAAGTTTGTTTTGAAGTCCTAGAATATAAAACATTTTTTTTTTATTTCCTTTGTTGTAACAAAAGTTTGCAGATTTTCTTTTGTTTGTATTAAGTTGTAATTTTTTTTATTTGTAGCTTCCATATCCTCTGGTTTGCATTTTATTGTCTGATTTGTTTGTTCATTCTTTATCATCATTTTTTGAGCATTGTTTAATTGTGAGTTTAGGTTAGAGATATGTTCATTTATGTTATCAAAGTTGTTTTTAATCTCATCATGATTTAAGACAATTGTCATTTGAATCTGTCACAGCATTGCATATATTTTCTCCTGGAATGTATTTGCTTTGCCTTGAGTCATTGTTCCTGTAGCTCTCTGATGTTCCAAGCTGGGTCTTCAGGAGGAGATGTTAGGTGTGGTTTTTTGACAATTTTAGATAAATATACAACATTCATTTTGTCTCCCTCCTCCAAGTAGCTTTTCACTGGTACAATAATCTCTTTAATTAGCTTTATCAAACCTGCCCATCTTAAAATCCAAACAACCAAATCTTTTGTAATTCTTATCTTTATATATGGTTTTTGTAATCCTATATGATTCCAATTATCAAAGCACCACTGGAAACAGTATTTTGTAACAGTTCTTCTTTTCAGAGGTCTTATGATTATCAGCCAGCCAAAATTTCAGTCCAAAATGTTTAACCACCTGAAAGCTTTCTAGTAACTTCCTCTTTAGAAGATTAGCCAATGGCCAAGGTTTTTCTTTCTCTGCAAACAGTTCTTAGACTTAAAAATATGGCTCAGCCCAGAAGGTTAGTGGTTTCTAAACATATATAGTTTCACTCTGCAGTAGATAGCCCAATGCTTTGTTCCCAGCTGTTTTTTTATTTTTGCTATTTCTAGGCATCTTGCCAAATTCTGAGTCAATGCAGCTATAGTTTTCTCTAATCCTCCACTAGATGTCAGTAGCTGTTCATTTCCCAACTTTTAAAGCAAAGAGTTGTTGTTGTTGTTGTTGTTGTTGTTGTTATTATTATTATTATTATTATTATTATTATTATTATTATTATTATTATTATTTCATCAATACTTTTTCAGATATGAAATTTTAACAGTTTTCTTAATTTTCAAATTTATCCAGACTGTAATATTTTTAACCACATTTCAATATATTTTTGTTCCCCATAAGAGTTTAATTTGCTGCTTCCGTCTATGGGAGGGTAGGGGTGTATTCCCCTCCTTTCTCACTTTGGGAGGATTTTTGCTTCTTGAGGATCTTTTCCAGGAAATCAGATACAAAATAGGACAGAGAATATCAAATTCCTCATCCAGTTTCAAACACACTGTTTGTCAAGTCTGCTAACATTGGATGTTATTGCTTGACATAAGTGAAGAAGCAAACATATCTATTTAGTCTACATATTGCCTCAAGAGCAAAAGCAGGCATTGCNCTCTGTTTAATTGGAGCATATGATTGATGACTGTGAAAGGAGGGAGGGAGTTGTGCTTGTCGCGAGAGCTAGGATGGGGGGGTGTTTCAGTTTTTGGCTTTACTTCGTTCGTGCCGGATTATGTAACTCATTAAAGGATTCTTTAAGGTAATTATGCCTAAAAGTTCTCTGAAAAGTTATTTCTTTCGGAACCTGACATTAAGCCAAAAACTCAAAACTTTTAAAACCATTTAGGGGTCCCTTACCCCAGTCACTATCTCTAAAATAACGGGGATAGTTTGACAAAGATAAGGGGAAGATCTCACCATGGAAGGAGAGGAAAGGCCTGAGGCCCGCACCCCTCCAGCCGCAGCCTCCCCAGGAGGGGGAGCAGCAGCAGCCGCGGCCTCCCCTCTGAAGGGAGCGACAGCTAATCAGCCGGAGGAAGAGAAATCCTTGTAAACTCTTCAACTGGGAGCGAGGCCAAAGCTGTCTGGAGAACTAATCAGATCGACAGACTGGCAAAAGCGAAGCAAAAGTTCTGAAGATTTTCATACAGCCCTGCCAGCAGTGGAGACCCAGTGGAGAACTACCCGGCCGTCTGTCACCGAGGACTTGGGTGAGTGGAGAAGCCCACCTGCAGTCCGTAGTAGTTCATTAGACTACCTAGCAGAGAGGTTTGAAGAATTGGAAGTGCAGAGCCGAGAACAACTTCCGTTGATAGAGGCCCCCAGCCCCACCCTTGCAGAGCAAATAGTTTTTCAGCCCCTAGGGTCCCCTGCCAAGACCTCCAGCCCCACAGAGAGAGAGACCCCCAGTCCGGGCCCCTTACAGCGAGATGAAATCAAGCGACCCCCACAGAAGAGTGGTCACCCATCTCTGAGCCTAAATCAACTAATAGAGGCCCTGCAGCAGTTTGAGGTGAAGCAGAGGCCAGATGAGCTACAACTGGTGAGATTAATGATTAGAGATGCCCAGCAGCCATTGAGAGTCCTACAGCAGCAGGGGGCGTCACCAGCCCCCGCTGGATTGCAGCAGAGAATCCAGCAACCACTGGATCAGCAGGCAGGAGGGGCCCAGCAGCAACTGGGGGCGCCACGTCAACCACAGAGAATCCAACAACCGTTGGGTCAACAGGCAGGGATGGGCCAACAGGAACTGAGGGTACCACGTCAACTGCAGAGAGCCCGGCAACCGTTGGATTGGCAGGCAGGATGGGGCCAACAGCAACTGGGAGCACCACGTCAACCGCAGAGAATCCAACAACCTTTAGATTGGCAGGCAGGATGGGGCCAACAACAACTGGGGGCACCAGTTCAACAATATAGAGCCCGGCAACCATGGGACCAGCAACCAGGATGGGGCCAGCCACAACAACCCCAGTGGTTCCAGCAACAGCCTGTGGTGCTACCACCTTTCAAAGCAACCTTCGATGGAGATCCAGAAAAACTGATTTTCTTTCTCAACCAAGGGCACACTCACTTGAACCGCTGGGCCAACCATTATCCGGACCCAGGTGCCATGGTCGACGTTATGGCATCCAACCTAGAGGGAGAAGCAGCCGAATGGCTGAATAATTTATATAGTGAACAAGCCCCTGAACTGGG